GAAAGGCGGGATCCAAGAGTCAATGCTCAATCCTGCAGACACAACTAGGTGAGTACAACTAGGTGAGTACACACACACACACACACACACACACACAACCTCCGATTGGCGTGAAGTCACCAGTGGAGTCCCACAGGGCTCTGTACTCGGTCCTATCTTGTTTCTGATATATGCAAATGATCTCCCGAAAGGTATCGATTCATTTCTCTCAATGTTTGCGGACGATGCTAAAATTATGAGAAGGATTAAAACAGAAGAGGACTGTTTGAGGCTTCAAGAAGACCTAGACAAGCTGAAGGAATGGTCGAACAAATGGTTGTTAGAGTTTAACCCAACCAAATGTAATGTAATGAAGATAGGTGTAGGGAGCAGGAGGCCAGATACAAGGTATCATCTGGGAGAGGAAATTCTTCAGGAGTCAGAGAAGGAAAAAGACTTGGGGGTTGATATCACGCCAGACCTGTCTCCTGCAGCACATATCAAGCGGATAACATCAGCGGCATATGCCAGGCTGGCCAACATACGAACGGCATTCAGAAACTTGTGTAAAGAATCATTCAGAACTTTGTATACCACATATGTCAGGCCAATCCTGGAGTATGCAGCCCCAGCATGGAGTCCATATCTAGTCAAGGATAAGACTAAACTGGAAAAGGTTCAAAGGTTTGCCACCAGACTAGTACCCGAGCTGAGAGGTATGAGCTACGAGGAGAGACTACGGGAATTAAACCTCACTTCGCTGGAAGACAGAAGAGTTAGGGGGGACATGATCACCACATTCAAGATTCTGAAGGGGATTGATAGGGTAGATAAAGACAGTCTATTTAACACAAGGGGAACACGCACAAGGGGACACAGGTGGAAACTGAGTGCCCAAATGAGCCACAGAGATATTAGAAAGAACTTTTTTAGTGTCAGAGTGGTTGACAAATGGAATGCATTAGGAAGTGATGTGGTGGAGGCTGACTCCATACACAGTTTCAAGTGTAGATATGACAGAGCCCGATAGGCTCATGAATCTGTACACCTGTTGATTGACGGTTGAGAGGCGGGACCAAAGAGCCAGAGCTCAACCCCCGCAAACACAACTAGGTGAGTACACATACACACACACACACAAAAGTTTTCTTTTAGCGTGAGAGTAGTGGAAAAATGGAATGCATTTGGGGAACAGGTTGTGGAAGCAAACTCTATTCATACTTTTAAAGTTAGGTATGATAGGAAAATGGGACAGGAGTCATTGCTGTAAACAACCGATGGCTGGAAAGGCGGGATCCAAGAGTCAATGCTCGATCCTGCAAGCACAAATAGGTGAGTACACACACACACACACACTCTCTCTGGTGGGACGCGAACAAGGGGACACAGGTGGAAACTTAGTACCCACATGAGCCACAGAGACTTAGAAAGAATTTTTTCAGTGTCAGAGTAGTTAATAAATGGAATGCATTAGGCAGTGATGTGGTGGAGGCTGACTCCATACACAGTTTCAAATGTAGATATGATAGAGCCCAGTAGGCTCAGGAATCTGTACACCAGTTGATTGACAGTTGAAAGGCGGGACCAAAGAGTCAAAGCTCAACCCCCGTAAGCACAATTAGGTGAGCACAATTAGGTGAGTACATGTGGGTGTGGTTAATAGGTGAGTACATGTGGGTGTGGTTAATAGGTGAGTACATGTGGGTGTGGTTAATAGGTGAGTACATGTATGATAGGGAAATAGGACCAGAGTCATTGCTATAAACAACCAATGCTCAAAACTCGGCCATCGAGAACAAGAACTCGACAAACACCTCCAAAGAATACCTGATCAACCAGGCTTTGAGTCATACGTCAGACTGATTGACCAGGCAGGCGTCCAACAGCCTGGTTGACCAAGCGACCAACCAGGAGGCCTGGCCAGAGACCGGACCACGGGCACGTTGATCCTCGGACCCGCCAGAAGGTTCCGAAGGGTGGGTTGCTGTACAGAAAATATGACAGTAAAACCATAAAAGCTTGCACCTGAAACTGGCGCTTCGCATGAATATATATATATAGAAAAAACTACTTTATTAAACTTATAAAGCGTCCTGTGGCGGTCTTCGCCAGGGACCCCAGCACCCCCGTAAAATTAGTGGGATGGCTTAGACATTTTCAAAAGGTGGTTGGATAATTAGCCCTGAGGAAGACAGAGGCGGGGAAGGGGACATTCAGGAGGCCATGTATTCATTACCCACCACCTCTGAGTACTCAACAGGTGCTACGATGAGTCTTCAAGGCTTCCCCAAGAAGCTCTTAAACTTCATCAAGAAGCTCTTAATTTACCATCTCTGCCCCCTTCGCTCCTTCTCTTACACCTCTATCCCTCGTTTTTATCACTTCCCTGCCTATCCTCCCTCTCTTTTTCTTTATTTACCCTTCTATCCCTTATTATCATGACTCTCAGACCTCAAACCATGGTCCAGTTCTTCACATGTTTGTTGTTATTACTCTGAATAAATCCACAAGGGCCGTGACGAGGATTCGAACCTGCGTCCGAGAGCATCCCAGACGCTGCCTTAATCGACTGAGCTACGACAGGGTAAAAGGGCTACTACCCTGTCGTAGCTCAGTCGATTAAGGCAGTGTCTGGGATGCTCCCGGACGCAGGTTCGAATCCTCGTCACAGCCCTTGTGGATTTGTTCATTTGATGCATCACGTTAGTGTGATCTCTGTGTAATTTGTTCATTACTCTCTTCACTTATTTCTTCTCCGTTTCTCTCCCTTTGGATGCTATTTCCCACTCTCCCTTTTCTCTCTCACTCTCCCCCTTCCCTCCCACTCCCCCTTTATCCCTGTCTCGCCTAATTGTTCCCGCAATTTCTTGCATTATTTTCCCTTTGGTTGTTACTGAGGTTTCTTCTCATACTTTTGTTCCTGTTATTCTATTGTCGTTGGTGGTGCTTTTGTTCCACCTGCTGGCGGTGTTCCACCTGCTGGCGGTGTTCCACCTGCTGACGGTGTTCCACCTGCTGGCGGTGTTCCACCTGCTGGCGGTGTTCCACCTGCTGGCGGTGTTCCACCTGCTGACGGTTTTCCACCTGCTGGCGTTGTTCCACCTGCTGGCGGTGTGCCACCTGCTGACGGTGTTCCACCTGCTGGCGGTGTTCCACCTGCTGGCGGTGTTCCACCTGCTGGCGGTGTTCCACCTGCTGGCGGTGTTCCACCTGCTGACGGTGTTCCACCTGCTGGCGGTGTTCCACCTGCTGGCGGTGTTCCACCTGCTGGCGGTGTTCCACCTGCTGGCGGTGTTCCACCTGCTGGCGGTGTTCCACCTGCTGGCGGTGTTCCACCTGCTGACGGTGTTCTACCTGCTGGCGGTGTTCCACCTGCTGGCGGTGTTCCACCTGCTGGCGGTGTTCCACCTGATGACGGTGTTCCACCTGCTGGCGGTGTTCCACCTGTTGGCGGTGTTCCACCTGCTGGCGGTGTTCCACCTGCTGGCGGTGTTCCACCTGCTGGCGGTGTTCCACCTGCTGGCGGTGTTCCACCTGCTGGCGGTGTTCCACCTGCTGACGGTGTTCCACCTGCTGGCGGTGTTCCACCTGCTGGCAGTGTTCCACCTGCTGGCGGTGTTCCACCTGCTGGCGGTGTTCCACCTGCTGACGGTGTTCCACCTGCTGGCGGTGTTCCACCTGCTGGCGGTGTTCCACCTGCTGGCGGTGTTCCACCTGCTGGCGGTGTTCCACCTGCTGGCGGTGTTCCACCTGCTGGCGGTGTTCCACCTGCTGGCGGTGTTCCACCTGCTGGCGGTGTTCCACCTGCTGGCGGTGTACCACCTGCTGGCGGTGTTCCACCTGCTGGCGGTGTTCCACCTGCTGGCGGTGTTCCACCTGCTGGCGGTGTTCCACCTGCTGGCGGTGTACCACCTGCTGGCGGTGTTCCACCTGCTGGCGGTGTTCCACCTGCTGGCGTTGTTCCACCTGCTGGCGGTGTACCACCTGCTGGCTGGGTGTTCCACCTGCTGGCGGTGTTCCACCTGCTGGCGGTGTTCCACCTGCTGGCGGTGTTCCACTGGCTGCGGTGTTCCACCTGCTGACGGTGTTCCACCTGCTGACGGTGTTCCACCTGCTGGCGGTGTTCCACCTGCTGGCGGTGTTCCACCTGCTGGGGGTGTTCCACCTGCTGGCGGTGTTCCACCTGCTGGCGGTGTTCCACCTGCTGGCGGTGTTCCACCTGCTGGCGGTGATCCACCTGCTGGCGGTGTTCCACCTGCTGGCGGTGTTCCACCTGCTGGCGTTGTTCCACCTGCTGGCGGTGTACCACCTGCTGGCGGTGTTCCACCTGCTGGCGGTGTTCCACCTGCTGGCGGTGTTCCACCTGCTGGCGGTGTTCCACCTGCTGACGGTGTTCCACCTGCTGACGGTGTTCCACCTGCTGGCGTTGTTCCACCAGCTGGCGGTGTTCCACCTGCTGGCGGTGTTCCACCTGCTGGCGGTGTTCCACCTGCTGGCGGTGTTCCACCTGCTGGCGGTGTTCCACCTGCTGTCAGTGTTCCACCTGCTGTCAGTGTTCCACCTGCTGGCGGTGTTCCACCTGCTGGCGGTGTTCCACCTGCTGACGGTGTTCCACCTGCTGACGGTGCTCCACCTGCTGACGGTGTACCACCTGCTGGCGGTGTTCCACCTGCTGGCGGTGTTCCACCTGCTGACAGTGTTCCACCTGCTGACGGTGTTCCACCTGCTGGCAGTGTTCCACCTGCTGGCGGTGTTCCACCTGCTGACGGTGTTCCACCTGCTGGCGTTGTTCCACCTGCTGGCGGTGTTCCACCTGCTGGCGGTGTTCCACCTGCTGGCGTTGTTCCACCTGCTGGCGGTGTTCCACCTGCTGGCGGTGTTCCACCTGCTGACGGTGTTCCACCTGCTGACGGTGTTCCACCTGCTGGCGTTGTTCCACCTGCTGACGGTGTACCACCTGCTGGCGGTGTTCCACCTGCTGGCGGTGTTCCACCTGCTGGCGGTGTTCCACCTGCTGGCAGTGTTCCACCTGCTGGCAGTGTTCCACCTGCTGACGGGGTTCCACCTGCTGACGGTGTTCCACCTGCTGACGGTGTTCCACCTGCTGGCGGTGTTCCACCTGCTGGCGGTGTTCCACCTGCTGACGGTGTTCCACCTGCTGACGGTGTTCCACCTGCTGACGGTGTTCCACCTGCTGACAGTGTTCCATCTGCTGACGGTGTTCCACCTGCTGACGGTGTTCCACCTGCTGACGGTGTTCCACCTGCTGTCAGTGTAACCACCTGCTGACGGTGTTCCACCTGCTGTCAGTGTTCCACCTGCTGTCAGTGTTCCACCTGCTGACAGTGTTCCACCTGCTGACAGTGTTCCATCCGCTGACAGTGTTCCACCTGCTGACAGTGTTCCACCTGCTGACAGTGCTCCACCTGCTGACAGTGCTCCACCTGCTGACAGTGCTCCACCTGCTGGCAGTGTTCCACCTGCTGGCGGTGTTCCACCTGCTGACAGTGTACCACCTGCTGACAGTGCTCCACCTGCTGACAGTGCTCCACCTGCTGGCAGTGTTCCACCTGCTGGCGGTGTTCCACCTGCTGACAGTGTACCACCTGCTGACAGTGCTCCACCTGCTGACAGTGCTCCACCTGCTGGCAGTGTTCCACCTGCTGGCGGTGTTCCACCTGCTGACAGTGTACCACCTGCTGACAGTGCTCCACCTGCTGACAGTGCTCCACCTGCTGACAGTGCTCCACCTGCTGACAGTGTTCCACCTGCTGGCGGTGTACCACCTGCTGACAGTGTACCACCTGCTGACAGTGCTCCACCTGCTGGCAGTGTTCCACCTGCTGGCGGTGTTCCACCTGCTGACAGTGCTCCACCTGCTGGCAGTGTTCCAGCTGCTGACAGTGTTCCAGCTGCTGACAGTGTTCCACCTGCTGACAGTGTTCCACCTGCTGACAGTGTACCACCTGCTGGCAGTGTTCCACCTGCTGACAGTGTACCACCTGCTGACAGTGTTCCACCTGCTGACAGTGTTCCACCTGCTGACAGTGTTCCACCTGCTGACAGTGTACCACCTGCTGACAGTGTTCCACCTGCTGACAGTGTACCACCTGCTGACAGTGTTCCACCTGCTGACAGTGTTCCACCTGCTGACAGTGTTCCACCTGCTGACAGTGTTCCACATGCGGGCAGTGTTCCACCTGCTGACAGTGTTCCACCTGCTGACAGTGTTCCACCTGCTGACAGTGTTCCACCTGCTGACAGTGTACCACCTGCTGACAGTGTTCCACCTGCTGACAGTGTTCCACCTGCTGACAGTGTTCCACCTGCTGACAGTGTTCCACCTGCTGACAGTGTACCACCTGCTGACAGTGTTACCGCGGCGCTTTAAGCCTCTTCAACTACCGCCTTTATATTCTAATTTTCTCGCGGCGCGTTAACCGAGACATTAGTTTGTTGGCACGTGTGTTTTTACTTCCTTGTTCAGTGTGATCCCAACACACACACACATACACACACACACACACACACACACACACACACACACACACACACACACACACACACACACACACACACACACACACACACACACACACATATACCTGTTGATTGACGGTTGAGAGGCGGGACCAAAGAGCCAGAGCTCAACCCCCGCAAGCACAATTAGGTGAGTATACACACACACACACTTTGACCAATTGTAATTGGACTCACAGAAACAAAACTCTCGGGAATCATACCGAATGCGGTGTTTCCCCAGGCCTACACTGTAATAAGGAAAGAGAAGGAAGGCAGGGGAGGAGGCGGAGTGGCTCTTCTGATGAGAAAGGAATGGAGTCTCGAGGAGATGGTTATTCCGGGCTGCGAAGGGTTCAGAGACTTGGTAACAGGCACCAAGACGATGGAAGGACCAAGAGTAGCAGTGATATATAACCCACCTGGTTGATGGGGTTCTGGGAGTTGTTCTACTCCCCAAGCGCGACCCGAGGCCAGGCTTGACTTGTGAGAGTTTGGTCCACCAGGCTGTTGCTTGGAGCGGCCCGAGGCCAGGCTTGACTTGTGAGAGTTTGGTCCACCAGGCTGTTGCTTGGAGCGGCCCGAGGCCAGGCTTGACTTGTGAGAGTTTGGTCCACCAGGCTGTTGCTTGGAGCGGCCCGCAGGCCCACATACCCACCACAGCCCGGTTGGTCCGACACTCCTTGGAGGAAACAACTTAGTTTCCTCTTTCCTCACCCCCAGATGAAAGAAGACCCAGGCACGAGTATGACAGAAACAACATGGCAGTTAACACTATCATTGAGAGAGCGGCCGGGGGGTGGCGGGTGAGGGCCGAGCGCTGGGGTGACGGGTGAGGGGCCGAGCGCTGGGGTGACGGGTGAGGGGCCGAGCGCTGGGGTGACGGGTGAGGGGCCGAGCGCTGGGGTGACGGGTGAGGGGCCGAGCACTGGGGTGACGGGTGAGGGCCGAGCGCTGGGGTGACGGGTGAGGGGCCGAGCGCTGGGGTGACGGGTGAGGGGCCGAGCGATGGGGTGACGGGTGAGGGGCCGAGCGCTGAGTGACGGGTGAGGGGCCGAGCGCTGGGGTGACGGGTGCGGGGCCGAGCGCTGGGGTGACGGGTGAGGGGCCGAGCGCTGGGGTGACGGGTGAGGGGCCGAGCGCTGGGGTGACGGGTGAGGGATCACTATAAAAGGGACAAAATGAGATTAAATCATTATTATTCAAGTCTCCCACAGTAATGTGATGCTCAACTTGGGTTTAATGGCGTCGTATTTGTCATATTATGAGTGGAGAGAGGTGACATGGGAGAGGGAGAGAGAGAGAGGGAGGGAAGGAGAGGGAGGGAGAGGGAGAGAGAGAGGGAGGGAGGGAAGGAGAGGGAGGGAAGGAGAGGGACAGAGAGAGGGAGGGAAGGAGAGGGACAGAGAGAGGGAGGGAAGGAGAGGGACAGAGAGAGGGAGGGAAGGAGAGGGAGGGAAGGAGAGGGAGAGGGAGAGAGAGAGAGGGAGGGAAGGAGAGGGAGGGAGGGAGAGGGAGAGGGAGAGAGGAATAGGACGAGAAAAAAGAAACGTTACAAAAGAACGTTAATAAATCGTGTGAAGGTGGGCAGGGAGATTAAGTCATTAATATAATACATATACAACAAGAAATATGTAGTTAAATATATATACATACATATATACACAGACACAGAGGAAGCAACCCACAGTGAAACCTAACCTAACCTAGGGAGGAGATAATGGCACTAATTACCTAGTAGTTTCAAAGTGATTACTTCATTTCTTAGACTCATTTGTGTTTCGAGCTTCCATTTGTGTCCTCATATCCTACCTCTTCTCACTTTAAAAAGAGGCTATTCCTGTCTACCGTGTCTATTCCCCTCTGTATCTTGTACGTTGTGATCATATCTCCCTTGCTTCATGTGTCCTTCTGGGTTGCGAGGTCCAGTGATGGTGGAGGGTGATGAATAGGTGGGGTAACAGAGGGGTGGATGAGATAGATCATCACATAGGAACAGCATATATCATCAATTAGCACGTGACTCACCGCCACCATGTTGACGCAATGTTGACGCAATCCTTCATCACCAAGCAGATCGGGAGGACGCAGAAATCAACAGAAGCAACATTGGTACCAAAAAGGAATATAACCAAATTCATCTTTGCCGTCTTTCTACACAACTACTGTTAATATTACATTCCTTGTTCTTGTTATCACCTTCTCTAATTCCTCTTCCTCCTACATATTCCCCTCATTATCCTCTCTCTCCCTTCCTCTCTCATTACCGTTAATTGCGTTATTTCCTCTCTCTCTCTTCTCCCATTTTCCACCACCTTTGTCTGTTTTTCCTTCGCGCTCTATTCACTCACATTATTATCTAACCCTCTGTTTATTTGCTTCTACTTACCCTTCACACTCTCTCTTCTCTCCTTATTCTCTTTCTTTCTGCCCTACTTCCTTCCCCCTCCCTCCCTCCCTCCCCTACCATGCTGGGATGAGGATTTGCGAAGCTGTCTAAGCAGGATTCAATTTCCATGAGTTGGTCTTTAAACTGCTGAGGATTTGTGTGTGGTGATTGATATACAAGGACAATCACCTCCTTTAGCATTGATATTTTGATTATCAGCACTTCCACTATGTTGATTGTGGTGTTTAGCAGCTCTGTTACGGGTTATTCATGCCCGTGCCCACCTCTGGGGTGGCTTTCTTCACCCATCCATCCATCAATCAGCAGCTTTGTAAAGACAGGTGTCTTTGATGTACAGGCTGACCCCACCCTGTACTCTGTGTTTCCTGTCATAACTGAAAAGATTGCATTGTGGTATCCATCTCTCACTTTTATTTTTTCTCTCCCTCCCTCTTTCTATTCCATCTATCTACATTTTTTTCTCTCACTAACAAAACAATTCTGCGGTGCGGAATTCATAATGGCGTTTTTTTTTTATTTCATTAGCTTGCTTCTTCTGATATCAACAGCTGGGCAGTCTGTGTTAAAACATTCCTTCTTGTTTAATGAACTTTTAGGATCAAAATATGGATCAAATGGTTTATGGATCATATGATTTAGATCAAAATATTTGCAATTATCAGAACGACATGTTCCAATATTTAGGATATTTCTGCATTTTCTTGGTAGGTTATATTCACATAGTTACCTGGAACATACCTGGAGAGGGTTCCAGAAGTTCTTCAACTCCCCGAGCCTGGCCTGAGGCCAGGCTCGCCTTGTGATAACTTGGTCCAGCAGGCTGTTGTTGCTTGGAGCGGCCCGAGGCCAGGCTTGACTTGTGAGAGTTTGGTCCACCAGGCTGTTGCTTGGAGCGGCCCGAGGCCAGGCTTGACTTGTGAGAGTTTGGTCCAACAGGCTGTTGCTTGGAGCGGCCCGAGGCCAGGCTTGACTTGTGAGAGTTTGGTCCACCAGGCTGTTGCTTGGAGCGGCCCGAGGCCAGGCTTGACTTGTGAGAGTTTGGTCCACCAGGCTGTTGCTTGGAGCGGCCCGAGGCCAGGCTTGACTTGTGAGAGTTTGGTCCAACAGGCTGTTGTTGCTTGGAGCGACCCGCAGGCCCACATATCCACCACAGCCTGGTTGGTCCGGCATGTCTTACAAGAACCTGTCCAAGTGCCTCTAATGTTCCATTAGTTCTTTCCAGAGAGCCCGTGTTTACACTCACCTCGTGCATAACATGGGCAGGTTCCACGTTCATGCTGCATTTATCATGGTACATCGCCGCTACTCTCTGTGGTCGCTCTTAGCTGCTAGATCTTGAAGGGGATCATGCCGATGGTTTCTGTTCTTGCTCACTAGCTCCCTTTTGTGGTGGATCTGTTTAGCTGGCTGGTAGGACCATACAACAGAGGCAGGACCATACAACAGAGGCAGGACCATACAACAGAGGCACCACACAAGAGAGGCAGCACCACACAAGAGAGGCAGCAGCACACAACAGAGGCAGCACCACACAACAGAGGCAGCACCACACAACAGAGGCAGCATCACACAAGAGAGGCAGAACCACACAACAGAGGCACCACACAACAGAGGCACCACACAAGACCACACAACAGAGGCACCACACAACAGAGGCAGCACCACACAACAGAGACAGCCCCACACAACAGAGGCAGCCCCACACAACAGAGGCAGCCCCCACACAACAGAGGCAGCCCCACACAACAGAGGCAGCAGCACACAACAGAGGCAGCACCACACAACAGAGGCAGCACCACACAACAGAGGCAGCATCACACAAGAGAGGCAGAACCACACAACAGAAGCAGCCCCACACAACAGAGGCAGCCCCACACAACAGAGGCAGCATCACACAAGAGAGGCAGAACCACACAACAGAGGCAGCACCACACAACAGAGGCAGCACCACACAACAGAGGCAGCACCACACAACAGAGGCAGCACCACACAACAGAGGCAGCACCACACAACAGAGGCAGCACCACACAACAGAGGCAGCACCACACAACAGAGGCAGCACCACACAACAGAGGCAACAGCACCACACAAGAGAGGCAGCATCACACAAGAGAGGCAGCACCACACAACAGAGGCAGGACCAGACAACAGAGGCAGCACCACACAACAGAGGCAGCACCACACAACAGAGGCAGCACCACACAACAGAGGCAGGACCACACAACAGAGGCAGGACCAGACAACAGAGGCAGCACCACACAACAGAGGCAGGACCACACAACAGAGGCAACACCACACAACAGAGGCAACAGCACCACACAACAGAGGCAACAGCACCCAACAGAGGCAGCACCACACAACAGAGGCAACAGCACCACACAACAGAGGCAACAGCACCACACAACAGAGGCAGCAGCACCACACAACAGAGGCAACAGCACACAACAGAGGCAGCAGCACCA